ACTCTCCTCCAAATCCTTTTTAGATTTTTCTAACTCTTTTGAGAGTTTGGAGGAAGAAGTCTTCTGCTCAGTAAGCTCCAGCTGGACGTTGGAAGCTTCGGTTTTGGCCTGGGTCGGCTCATCTCCCTTGACTCTCAGCTGATCCTCCAACTCCTTCAGCTTCTGGTCCTGGCTCTCAGCAGCACCTTGGGCAGCATAAAGGTGAACATACCTAGCCTGTAGAGCCTCTTCAGCAGCCATCCTGCTGGCTTCAAGAGCTTTCAGCTTCTGCTGCACTTCAGCTTGTGCAGTAGCTTGTTCTTGAATTCGGCTCTCGATGGCAGCTTTGAATTTGGAGATGTCCACTCCCATTTGCTCATGAAGGAATTTCTCCCCTTCCATCAGCGGGGGAAAAACTTCCTTCTCCATAGCCGAGCAGAAGGTTTGAATGGCTTCAGCAACCCTCTTTTCATACTCTTCGCTCTGCTGCTGCTTCTCTTCAGCAGCCTGCTGCAGCTCAGCAAGCTTCGCCTCCTCCCGGGCAATCTTTGTATCCTCCCAGGCATGCTCCAGCTTGTCTTGGAGGGTGTCAATCAACTCTACAGTAAGAGTCTGATTGTGCACAACCTGTTTGCAGGGGCACATCAGTTAAAATAGATAAAATAATAAAAAAGGAAAGCCAGAAAGGAGAAAAAGAGCTGAATGAAAAAGAGGTGGAGGGGGGGTTTGAGAACGCGGAGCTTCCGGTGGAGGGGGAGCGCTCGGCGAGCGTCTACCTTCATCAGGCTCCCGTATGAGGATACCCCCGGTAGGCCTCTTCCCCATCTGAAACTGCCGAGGCCCCAGCACGGCTAACCTCCTCCTCTTCTTTGCTAAGGGATGCTCGTCCATTTCTTCAGATTCTGACGAAGATGGATCCTCAAAACGAGCAGGCGCCTTTCCTTCTCTTCTTTCGCTCCCTTCCTCAGACTGCAGAAAGGGGGGGCAGAAAGTGTGAGTAAAAAAAAAAAAAAAAAAACCAAGCAAGTCAGGAACTTACTGGAACCTTCGGCTGAGCTTCAGATGCGGGGATACCCCTCTCAGTAGCACCAGATGTCCCAACACCTCCTTCCAAGGAGTCGATTGCTCGGGACACGTCAGCTGCTGTCTGAGCAGCTTGTGCTTCCTCAGGTAATAAAGGACGAAGGGGATCTCGCTTCTCCCACCAAGGCTTCTGCTTGGTGTATTCAGCGGCAGCTTCGATCTGAAGTCCCGTTTCGTGCAGATGCAGCGGACGGTCCTTCGGAGCTGTGATCGTTGGAGCCCGGTCTAAAATGACTCGTTCAGCGTTCACCCCAAGCTGATTATAGTCAACCCCCGAAGTAGCTTCGCTCAGCTCTGAAAAGAACAGACGAAGGTTAGACTAAGGGAATAAGCATCAAAGATAAACAAAAATTAAACAAGTCAGAGTCCTCGGCCCCAGCCGAACATACTTACCATCCCTGTACTTTCGGCTGAGGCCGACAACTGCCAACATCTTCTCTTGGAAGACGTAATGGTTATCTGGAAGCCATCTGGCCGGGATAAATCTCATTCGGCCAATTCCCCCAGGGTTATTCTGCTTCCCGAAAAAGCTCATTTGCTCATAGTTGGGATGACGAGCGGCATCAGGATCCTTAGGACCCAAATCCTGCATGTTCGGATCAGGCCTGAAGAGGTATCGAGGAGCCCCGAAAAATAGGGATGCTCGGGATCAGTGGGGACTCTCACCCAGACCCATTGACCTCTCCAATCCTTGTCCAAAGAATCGTTCGGCCACATAGTCAGATAATGGGGGCGGCTCTCTGTTCGCCACCAGCCTGAAGACCCATGTTGGTCGTATGTGCTCTGAAGGTTTTGCACCAGCTGATGCATCTTTCGGAAGCAGTGCAAATTCGGCTCAACAGCAAAAAACCGGCACACCCAGAGATAAGTCATCACCCGCCGAATACTAACGGGTGTTAATTGGCACAGGGAGATCCTGTACTTTATTAAAATGTCCCTGACGAAGGGATCCAAAGGAAATCGAAGCCCGTATTGTAATTGCCGAGTGTACACCCCTATATACCCAGGAGGGGGACGGTGAATCCTGTCAGTCGGGGAGGGCATTTGGCACCAGTGCCCATCCTCTTCAAAAATGTCGTTGTGCAACTCAATTTGCTCGGAGAATCGGTAGGTTTCGGCATGCCGAACCCACCATGAGTATGGGGTATTTCTCACCATGGCGTCCTGGGCCTCGGCGTCCTACCATTCAGCATGCCCAGGAAGCAGGTCCCAGAGCACAGGGGGCAAATCTTCAGCCTGCCCAGCCTGTTCTCTCTGCTCAGGTTGCTCCGCCTCGCCGGCCTCGGCGTCCTGCTGGGGCGGCACGGCGTTTAAAGGAACTGCCGGAATCCCCCTTTCCGGGTCTTCACCGGCTCGTTCCCCGTTCCAAACGTCGGCGCGGTCACGGGGATCCCCAACCTGACCCCATGGACCCGGATGACGCCTCCTTTCTCGAGCCATAATCAAATTCAGAGAAGGAAAGAAGGGAGAAGAAGAATTTCCCTAAAAAAAGGCAAGAAAATCGAAAAACTCGAGGAAAATTACCTTCAAATAGGCCGGAGTACGCCGGTCAAACCAGTGGAAGCAATGGATTTGAGTATCGAACTCGGATTCGAGAAGGGTACGCTGGAAATTCGGAGCGAAGATGGGTTTGCACGAGAATTTGAGTGTAAGTTGGTGAAGAAATGAGGTTGAAATGCGAATCAGACCTTATAATTCCAAGAAGGAGAATCCCAAAAGTCGAAAAGTTCAAATTTCTCTTAAATACCTCCTTAATTAACCGTTAAACACTCTCTCTCTTGATTAACCGCCCACTATCCACTCCACTTCCTGTTAATTATCCAAATTACAGTTATTTAATTAATGACTGTTTAAAAATTTAAATCTTTTGATTTAATTAAATCATTTACTTCCCTCCATTTCTTATTGGATTCAGACCCGACCCGTCATCCTTCCAAATTGGGTCTGGGGGGCAAGTTGTTTGGGTCCAATTTATCTAATTGGGCCTAGTCATGTATTTGGGTCCAATTATCTTATTGGGCCTGGTCACTAAATGACTCCATGTTCCAAGGTCAAGGCCCGAGCCTCCAATCAAGCCAAGTCAACCAAGAGTCCTTTGGTCCAAATTGCCATGGTCAACCCATGACTATTTAAAGGTCCAATTACTCTCCTCTCATCATGAGCAAAGGTATAAAAGCCTTCAATTCATTCATTTGTACAATAACATACAAAAGCCTCAAGCACTAAATCTCTTGCATAGCTTTCTCTCTCTAAACACTGTTTGACTTCGGCATCGGAGGGGTCTTCCTCGGATCCACCCCCGAGGCCAGTTTACGTGTTTTAGTTGTGCAGGAAACCTTCGGCCCAACATCAATGGACCGAACCAGTCTTCAGCCACTTCAGCGGGCCTTCGGCAAGGCCCCATTGTTTTCATCCGAAACAGAAAATACAACAATTTGCATTGGTACTTTAAAGGATCCAACAACTTTCAAACTCTTTCTAGAGACAAACAAATCCATGGGAAAGGTAAAGATAGAAAGGTTTGGGTAATAAGTTCCACTTTCAAGTGTTCACGAACCCCCTCTAAGGCCTCTATTCAACTCCATAATCATATATGTGTCACAAGAATCCAACTCGACCAATTGATCATTTCCTCTAATAAAGATAATCTAGGTCCTGTTTATATTAATACACCATACAAATCAAAGAAAACCTCAAAATATGTACCGTGTTAGATTTGTTTTGATACAGAGTATTGTACGAGTACGAGTATATATTTTTGGAAACAGTAAAAGTCAAACGTGACAGTTATTTTGGGACAACAGAAGAAAAAAAGCTAATAAAATTCACTAGCAATTTTTTAAAAAGCCAATGTTGTGAAATGGTCTTGCACTCTTACCTTAATTAAACTAAGTTGTACTCCATCCATACGCTCTAGACATGGGGGGTACTTTACTCACTATATTCACATGTGAATAAGCACACGGGCTTGGTTTACATTATAAAGGACATTGCCTCTCTTTTAACCAATCTCCACTATTCTCTTGTGAACTCCCCCACTCCCTAAACTTTGGCTCCATTATTTTTACTTACAAATAAAGTTTTTTTGAATCAAACATGAAAGAAAGGATGCTGAAGTTGCATTTCACCTTGATTTTCCCATGTACTCTAGCCTTATTTTTCTTGGCTAATAGTTATGGTAATCATATTCTATTTACTTGTTGTATAGTTTTTTTAAATTTACATTTTCTTACCATTGAGCTTCTTTTAACATTGTTGATATTTTGTGGCAGATGGGCCTCTTTATGATTCTTCTGCTTATACTGAGGTACATTGCAAATTTCTAGTAGTACTTATGAATCTAAATCACTCATTTATACAACTTCGATCTATACTATGGTAATTGCCACGTATATAGTGTATAATTTGAACTAGCAATATAATTACTAATTCCGGATGAAGGTAGTTTGTGCTTGATATAGTTTTCATATGTTTTTTTCCTTACATGAAGTGCAAAGAACATCCTGAGGACCCACTATACAATGGAGGAAACCTACAAGACTATAGAAATTGCTGCATCAGTGATCCATCAATACCTTCATTCATGATCAACAATCTCTCCACTGCTTTCTACACTTTATCTGGTAAATTTCTCTCCTTCCAATTTGTCATTTTCTAGTTTGTATTTATGAACTATGAACAAGTCCTCATTTTATGAGCATTGAACGTTTTGGGTCATATGACTCATAAATGACATCTTAAGTTTGTATGTCACGTGACGTACTATACTAAATTATTTCGTTCTAGTGCCTTTTTCAATATTCGTGAAAAGTCAATTAGGACAAGCACTCAAAAATGAAGATAGTAAATTTGTAGTCGTAATAATTTATGGATCTATGACGGTTTTCTGTCCAACATTCTAAATTTGTTACTATCATAATATTATGACAGCTTGGGTAATGATAGAGGGAGTTGATTCATCTCTAATAAGAGCAAGCTTAAAAACAGAACATGCAACAATTAGTTGTATTGGAACTGTAATAGCTAAGCAAGGATGCTGGTCTTTTCTTAAAGGAGGATTTGTACTGGATTCACCTTCAAAATCTTCAATTCTATATTTTAAGGTATTTGGATGTTACTTAATTCAAATTTAATCATGTAATTGTAAAAAAAATCTTCCTTTAACTTGTGCCTTCTAATTTATGTATTACAGGACAATGGAAAATCCACCAATGTATCAGTTGCTAGTGCATCCTTGCAGCCATTTAGTGAAGAACAGTGGAGATTGAATCAACAAGCCATAATTAACAGAGTAATTTTATTCTGTGCTTATTAATTACCTACTCAAGTTTGATAAAAGTTTTTTTAACATTTTTTAAAACAAGCTGACTAACATGGATCAACAATATTTGCCTTAATAATTGAAGGAACACAAGCGTTTTGTGACAGTTCATGTGTCGAATTTGCATGGAGAAAGGCTAGTAGGAGCTTCAATAACCATTCAGCAAATCTATAAAGACTTCCCTATTGGATCTGCCATTGCTGCTACCATTATAGGAAATCTTCCCTACCAGGTTATACTCGTACCTTAATTAGGCCCTATTCTCTTCGACTTTTAAAGATTAATTCAAGCTAGTGAAAATTGGTTTCAATCAATCAATAACTATCTGTTCTGTTTCTTGAAATTCAGTTAAAGACGGTAAAGATTATCCCTTGATACTTGATTTATCATATACATTTACTCTAGCAGAGTTGGTTCTTGAAGAGGTTTAATGCAGCAGTGTTCGAAAATGAGCTAAAGTGGTATGCAACAGAACCAGAACCAGGAAAAATCAACTACACCTTAGCTGATCAAATGCTGGAATTTGTCAGAGCAAACCAGATTACTACAAGAGGCCACAACATATTCTGGGAAGATATGGACTACACTCCAGCATGGGTGAAAAAACTCGAGGGGCCGGACCTTCAACAGGCTGTTAATTCTCGAATAACAAGCCTGATGAACAGATTTAGAGAAGAGTTCATTCACTGGGATGTCAGCAATGAGATGCTCCACTTCAATTTCTATGAGCAGCGGCTTGGACCTAATGCCACCTTAGATTTCTTCAAGACGGCTCATCAGGCTGATCCGTTGGCTACCTTGTTCATGAATGAGTTCAATGTGGTTGAGACTTGTAATGATGGTAATTCAACTGTTGATGATTATGTTAGAAGGTTAAGGGAGCTTAAAGCAGGAGGAGTTACAATGGATGGAATTGGCCTAGAAGGGCACTTTAGTGTTCCTAATCCTCCCTTAATTAGAGCTATCCTAGATAAGTTGGGCACCCTTGGACTTCCCATTTGGCTCACTGAAGTTGATATATCTCATACTATTGACAAACAAACACAGGTAAAACCAAGCATTGTTGTTGCATTAAGAAGTGTTCTTAAGGAAGTTAACTGAATGATGCATTTTAAAGTCAATCTTATTCATTTTGCAGGGTGTATACTTGGAGCAAGTATTGCGAGAAGGATACTCACACCAATCCGTAAAAGGTTTAATGCTTTGGACAGCCCTGCATCCTGAGGGAAAATGTTACCAAATGTGCCTCACAGACAACAATTTTCAGAATCTCCCAGCAGGAGAAATCGTCGATAAGCTGTTAAAAGAATGGCAGACCGGAATAGTAGAGGGAGTTACTGATCAACTTGGCTCATTTAACTTTCATGGATTTTTAGGGGAGTATACAATAATGGCTACATATGAAAATAGAACTACAAAATCGTCATTCTCATTAACAGGAGGACACGAAACTAGGTATATAAACGTTCAACTCTAACCATATACTAGCATACATGTAATATTATCATTCTACTTGCTATACCTGCTACATCAGATCAAATCTCATTGTTTTCAAATTGTTAGTTCTAATAAGAATTTATTTTTTCTCCCCTGTAGACAACTACTCTGTAAAGTCACGCTACCTTTTAAACCACATAACCGCTCATAAATAGATGCACTTGAACCTTACAAGGCACTGTTAAAATATAACCTCATATAATGGCTGAGTAAGTGAGAAACTCTCGCGTAATCATTAGCCACTCACGGTGTTAAAATGTACCTTACAGTAAACCCAAGTGCCATCAACATAGTCAATTATTTTCTGTAGTACATCACTCTGAGTTCATGATGGAAGTAAACTTAAGACATAAGGTAAAATATGCTGCATGCCATAATATTTATTTTCAATCAGAAGCTTTTATTATACGACACTCTTACTCAACATGGTCCAATGGCCTTGTAACATTGCACCTCTTGAGATATAAAGAGGCAACTTTAAAAGTATCACTTTCTGGCTCATGTCACATACTCCCACATGTAAAATTAAGGCATTTCAACAATCGACCTTAATAACTCTGATTGACACGTGATTTTGTTATGCTTTTCAATAAAAAAATACGAGTGCCATTTTAGAAAAAGGAATTTAATACTTATATGTGTCTCTTAGGAAGTATGAAGTATATATCGTAACCGATAATAGTATATTTGCACAACTGTACTCACTTTCATATAAACAATGCATGTTCCCTAAGTAACGGCATTTCACCTGAATAATAGTCTAGTACTGCATTGTTTATGGCCAACCTACTAGAGAAATCAAAATCGAGGAACTAAACAAAATCCTTCTGCTATTTTCTCTGACTATTATTTGGCACAAACTTCCCATATTCAAATTCAAATTACAGTGTTACAGCATAATGCAGCTATAAACAACTATATGCCAAAAAATGGCAAATAAATTATTAGTCGTAAACTCATAATACATGGTTGGGCGTTGTGCATGGCCGGTTGATTAACTGAACATGGCAAATATATTATAGGACTAAAAATCCCAGTTGTTTAAAGAGGACAAAATCTCCATTCACAGAATGCAAGGAGAAAAGGATGATTTCAAGATGTCTTTAAATGATTCAAAATTTATAAGGCAACATAACTTGTCTCTTATCTTCATTTCCCTTACCAACTCTCATTTGTTAGTCTCGGGTTGAGACATTGCAAATCATATACTGATATTAGCAGATTTTGGCCTAGGAAAATAGCATGAAAGAATGTCGCTGTATAATTTTGATGCTGTTCTGTTTCCTCCTAGGAGCTGCTGTAATACCAACTTATGGTTTGCTCTCACTAATGTCACAAATTCACTCTTTATTATTCTTGCTTAATTAATTACTTGTGCATTTTGTTGCTGATCATGTTTTTTTTTTTTTCTTTGTTTTCTTGTAATGAATACTTTGTCATAAGGTGGTCTTTGGTATGATCACACGGCTTATTCTGAGGTAATTATCCAGATTTTGATCATGCTCATAACTTTGTGAGAATATGACTCAAATGTATGTGGCTGAATGATTACGACGTTTTCCCCCTGTTGTGCATAAATATTTCCTGCATCATGTAGACTAATGAATGAATGATTTCAATTTGTGGCTTATTGCAGTGCAAGGAAAACCCTGAGAAAGCTCTGTACAAAGGAGGAATCCTTAAAGATAATGTTCTGCAAGAGGTCCCAAGAGGATCATTTGAGCATTCCCCTGCTTTTCTGCTACATAATCTTCCTGGTGCCACAATCTACTCCTTTTCCAGTTGAGTTTTCATATCTCTACCCTAAAAATATGTAAATTATAATATGATTAATATGGTCACCTATGTAAAGTAAATGTACAATCATATCCAAGTGAAAAATGTCATTGTTCAAAGCAATTTAAGGAATGAATTATTTGATGATTTGTATAGTAGATGCTAAACAACAATTTTCAGATGTACGGAGTAACATTTAACATTCGAAGCATTATCTACCTTACATAGTTACATGACATGTTTTGTGATAAAAAACAGTTTGGGTTAAGATAAAGGGAGCAGATTCTACACTTATAAGGGCAAGCTTAACATCGGAAAATGAAAATTACAGCTGCATAGGCAGTGTCATTGCTAGCAGTGGATGCTGGTCATTTTTGAAGGGTGGTTTTACACTACTTTCACCTTCTAAACTGTCAACACTTTATTTTCAGGTATACTTTGTTTCCTTCTCATCCTTCTATTCAATTCTACAACAAACTTTTATATTATACGTGTACAAGTTTTTAATAACTTCGTACGTACACTTTACTATGTTTTCTGCTATAGAATTCAAGAGGAAATGTTGATATTGAACTCTCAAGTGCTTCGCTACTACCATTTACAAATGATGAATGGAAAACAGATCAGCAAAGTAAGATAAAATCTGTAAGGACTTCCTCTGCCATTCCATTCTGCTTTGCTATCCAAAGAGTATGGAGCATCACAAACTTGAAAAGTCTTAGATTACTTAGCAACAAATTACTTAATTCCTATTCTTCTATTATATGGAGCTACTGATAGATTATATGAGTATTATTTATCATCTCATGTATTTAGCTTAGAAAACGTGCTGCAACAATCCATGTGTCCGATGAATATGGAAATCGGCTGCAAGGAGCAGAAATTACCTTGCAACAAGTTTCTAAGGACTTTCCCTTGGGTTCAGCTATATCAAAAAACATCCTAGGAAATTTGCCTTACCAGGTACATATCTTATACTGCATACCAAATTTGTGATTGTTGTACTGCACAATTTCTTGTATGTCATTGAGTTGAGGTTAATGAGGAAAATACAATGCAGGAATGGTTTGTAAAGAGATTCAATGCAGCTGTATTTGAGAATGAGCTAAAGTGGAGTGCAACAGAACCTAAACCAGGGAAACTAAACTACACTATCCCAGACAAACTGCTAGATTTTGTTAGGTCCAACAAGCTAATTGCAAGAGGCCACAACATTTTTTGGGAAGCTCCAAGCTACACCCCATCATGGGTACTAAATCTAACAGGCTCAGACCTCGAGCAGGCCGTAAACTCCCGAATAGCAAGCCTGATGGACAAGTACAAGGGAGAGTTCATACACTGGGATGTCAGCAATGAGATGCTCCACTATGGGTTCTATGAAGACAAGCTCGGGCCTAATGCAACATTGAGCTTTTTCGAGACAGCCCATCAGGCTGACCCGTTAGCAACCCTTTTCATGAATGAGTTCAATGTGGTGGAGACTTGTAATGATGTGAATTCAAGTGTTGATTCTTACATTGCAAAGTTGAGAGGGCTCCAACTAGGTGGAATTGTAATGGATGGTATTGGGTTGGAGGGTCATTTCACAGTTCCAAATCCGTCGCTTATCAGGGCTACCTTAGATAAGTTGGCCACACTCGGGCTTCCCATTTGGCTTACTGAGATTGATATTAGCAATACCCTAGACAAACAAACACAGGTATATATACAACTTAACAAAATGCCGATTTTATCTAGCTTAGTTGGTCAAAGTCTTGAGAGAATAATGTAAATTAAACTTGACGTGTTGTTTTTTTTTGCAGGCTACATATTTAGAAGTGGTATTGAGAGAAGGTTTCTCCCATCCATCAGTAAAAGGAATAATTTTGTGGACAGCCTTAAACCCTTATGGATGCTATAGAATGTGCTTGACAGACAACAATTTCCAAAATCTCCCTGCTGGAGATGTCGTGGACCGCCTTCTTAAGGAATGGCAAACAGAGGAAATTCAAGGAGATACTGATAAATATGGCTCCTATAGCTTCTCTGGTTTCTTAGGAGAATACAATGTTCATGTTGTATTTAAAAACAAAACTACAAATTCCACATTCTCACTCAGCCAAAGTGATGAAACCAAGCATATTAACATCAAATTGTGACTTCACCACTAGTTTACTAAGCTAAGTTTTAGCTTTTAAACATACAACAAATTAAAGTTGCAATAAAGTATGCTTCACATTATGTTTGAGTTTACATTAAACATATCATTTTCAATTTTGTACTACTTGTACAAGTTTTGCATCTTGTAAATGACAAATTCTAGTATGAGACAGTTTCATGCCGGCAAGAGGTCTAGTATTAACATTGAGTCAATCAAGAATCAAATTACGAAACCACCACACATATATAACGTTCTCAAATTAGAGTATCTTACGATATAATAATATAGTACATACACAAGCTTAAAACAGACAACAACTTTAGAGTATCTCAATTGAACAACAATAATACTAAGAATTAGACATTGTTGTCAATAAGATCACCATTGAGCAACTCTCTGTAAGCAGCAACAGGCCAACTGAAACCCCTAAAAAGAAGTCTTGAAGCCAAAGGAACATCAATAATAATCTCCTTCTGAGTAGGCTTCTTCTCATCACGAATTGCAATCAAATAACTCCGTCCGACCCACCCGATCCACCCGGCAATATACAAGAACAATATACCGGGAGTAATAAACTCACCCCAATGTCTCTGATCACCACTCACTATCAAATGAGGAAGGCCGTCTGATCCACACAATAATCCGTACTTTCCGTAGTTATCGAACCTTCTCTTGGTCTTCTCCATCGTAGCCTGGATCGCCAAAGCGGGTGCACTATCAGGGGCGTAAAGCTTTAGGGATGATTGAAGCTTCTTTAAGGCTTGCTTCTCACGTTTTGCGAATTGTTTTGATTCTTTGCATGGTGTTAGTCCAGCAATGTCGGCCATTGCGGCATCGGGTGCTACTGTCCATGAGGAGAGTAGCACCGAGGATAGAGCCAACGCTGCGGCTGCGTTGGCTCCAACCTTGGTTAGGTCAAGTTTGTTTGGTTGATGGTGATCATTTTCTTGTTGCTGGCATACTATCTTTGATGAGCGAGGTGTGAAAGATGTGGAGAAGTTTCTAGGTTTAGCGGTTGCGAGTGGTTTGTAGAGGTTAGTGGGGATTGTCAAAGACATGGTGGGAGAGTGAGGAGAGAGAAAATGGGGGTGGGAGGAGTTGAGTGATATGGAGGAGGATTGGAAGAATTGAAGAAGAAGAAGAAAGGAGAGGTGGGATTTAGATTTTGTGAGGATAAGATAGGAAATGACAAAGGGAGGTGACTTGTATGGTTTCTATTGGTTTCTTCATATTTTGGGTGTTGGTTTTTTAGATTTGTTTAGCTGTTGTATGTTTGAGGGTGTGATTTGGGTAGATTTGAATGTAGAGGTGGAGTATGTGGATAACACAAGCTTGTGACTTGGACAAGCTTACCTTGCAGATTGGTGCCATGGTGGCATGATTATTGATGAGTAATGACTTGTTCTATTTTGGATCTTTGGTACCAATACGTGGGTCGGGTTGGTTTGTACACTGTTTAAATTATTTGAGAGAACAAGCCCTATATAAGATTACAAGTAATTCGTGTAATTCTCTACTATATACAGTATTTGTTGTATGGAGTACACGATATATTAGGAGTGCGCTCTATTAATTTGATTATCACTCATCTAAACTAATTAGCATTCAAATTTGGAATTTTTAGCCTTTTTTTCGCCCGAAAAATAAAATTTGTCGAAATGTTTACCATGTTCCCTAATACCCTCTTGGAGTCCAATTGGGTGGGTGGAACCATCCAATTTACCTTTAAACGACCAATTTACCGGTTTACAACTTGCACCGATTTCATTAATTCAAGTCTACCACGAACATTTATGCCAACAAATAATGATCATATATGGTTCCAAACGACATTATATGACACCGAAATGTATTCCCTAGAATTTCAACACTTTTCGACACCGGGCCCCGAATACTCCAAAAATTCTCAAAAATCATGGATATTAGCCTTCAATTTTGGAATTTTTTTACTTTTTTCGCCCGAAAATAAAAATTGCCGAAATGTTTACTATGGTCCCTAATACCCTTTATGAGTCCAATTGGGTGGGTGAAACCATCCTGTTTGCCTTTAAACGGCCAATTTATCGGTTTACAACTTGAAGCGATTTAATTAACTCAAGCCTACTACGAACATTTACGACAACATATAAAGATCATATATGGTTCTAAACGGCATTATATGACCCCGAGATACATCCCCTAAAATCTCAAGGATTTTCGACAACGTGCCCCGAAACCTCCAAAATTTATTAAAAAGCATGGATATTAGCCTTCAATTTTGGAATTTTTTGACTTTTTTTTTACCGGAAAATAAAAATTGCCGAAATATTTACCATGGTTCCAAAAACCCTCCGAAAGTCCAATTGGATGGGTGGAACCATCCAATTTGCCTTTAAACAACCAATTTACAAGTTTACAACTTGCACGATTTCATTAAATAAAGCCTACCACGAACATTTATGACAACAAATAATGATAATATATGGTTCCAAATAACATTATATGACCTCGAGATATATCCTATAATTTAAATACTTTTCGATACCGGGCCCCAAAACCTCTAAAATTACTCAATAAGTGTGGATATTAGCCTTCAATTTTGGAATTTTTTTGACTATTTTCCCCCGAAAATAAAAATTGTCAAAATGTTTACCATGGTTCCTAATACCCTTTGTAAGTCCAGTCCAATTGGGTGGGTAAAACCATGCAATTTGCCTTTAAACAGCCAATTTAACGATTTACAACTTACATCGGTTTCATTAATTCAAGCCTATCACGAACATTTATGACAACATATAATGATCATTTATGGTTCAAAACGACATTATATGACCCCGAGATGTATCCCCTAAAATCTCAAACTTTTTCGACACCGGGCCCTGAAACCTCAAAAATTTCTCAAAAATCGTGGATATTAACCTTTAATTTTGGAATTTTTTGACTTTTTTTTTTCGCCCGGAAATAAAAATTTTCAAAATATTTAACATGGTCCCTAATACCCTCCGGGAGTCCAATTGGGTGGGTGGAACCATCGAATTTGCCTTTAAACGGCCAATTTATCGGTTTACAACTTGCACCGATTTCATTAACTCAAGTTTACCACAAACAATTATGACATCATATAATGATCATAAATGGTTCCAAACGGCATTATATGACCCCGAGATGTATCTCCTAAACCTTCAAGGCTTTTCGACACCAGGGCCATGAAGACTCCAAAATTTCTCAAAAAGCGTGGATATTAGCCTTCAATTTTTGAATTTTTCGACTTTTTTTCGCCTGGAAATAAAAATTTTCGAAATGTTTACAATGGTTCCTAATGCCCTCCGGAAGTCCAATTGGGTGGGTGGAACTATCCAATTTGCCTTTAAACGGTCAAGTTACCGGTTTACAACTTGCACTGATTTCATTAAATTAAGCCTACCACGAACATATATGACAACATATAATGATCATAAATGGTTATACAAGGCATTATATGATCTCGAGTTGTATCCTCTATAATTTCAATACTTTTTGACATCGAACCCCGAAACCTCCAAAAATTCGCAAAATGTATGGATATTAAACTTTAATTTTGCAATTTTTTGACTTTTTTCGCCCGTAAAAAAAAGTTGTCGTATTGTTTGCAATGATCCCTAATACCCTCCGGGAGTCCACCTAGATGGGTGCAACCATCTAATTTGCCTTTAAACAACCGATTTACCGGTTTACAACTTGCACCGATTTCATTAACTCAAGCCTACCACGAACATTTATGACACCAAATAATGATCATATTTGGTTCTAAACGACATTATATGACTCTGAAATCTATTCCATAAAAATACAAGACTTTTCGACACCGGGCCCCCGAAACCTCCAAAATTTCTCAAAAAACGTGGATATTATACTTCAATTTTGGAATTTTTTTAACTTTTTTTCCCCAGAAATAAAAATTGCCGAAATGTTTACAATGGTCACTAATACCCTCCAGGAGTTCAATTGGGTGGTTGGAACCATCCAGTATGCCTTTAAACGACCAATTTACCGATCACAACTTTCACTGATTTCATTAACTCAAGCCTACCACGAACATTTATGACAACATATAATGATCAATTATGGTTCCAAACGGCATTATATGATCCCGAGATATATTACCTAAAATCTCAAGGCTTTTCGACACCGTGACCCAAAACCTCCAAAAAATTTCAAAAAACGTGGATATAAGCCTTCAATTTTGGAATTTTTTCACTTTTTTTCGCCCGGAAATAAAATTGCCAAAATTTTTACCATGGTCACTAATACCCTCCGAGAGTCCAATTAAGTGGGTGGAACCATCCAATGTGCCTTTAAACGACCAATTTACCGATTTACAACTTGCACCGATTTCATTAAATCAAGCCTACCACGAACATTTATGACATCATACAATGATCATAAATGGTTCCAAACGGCATTATATGACCCCAAGATGTATCCCCTAAAATTTCAAGGCTTTTCGACACCAGGCCTCGAAACCTCCAAAATTTCTCAAAAAACGTGGATCTTAGCCTTTAATTTTGGTATTTTTTGACTTTTTATTGCCCGAAAATAATAATTGCCGAAATATTTACCATGGTTCCAAAAACCCTCCGGGAGTCCAATTGGGTGGGTGGAACCATCCAATTTTCTTTTAAACGGCCAATTTACCGGTTTACAACTTGCACCGATTTATTGGTTTACAACGGCCAATTTAAGTAACTTGCACCGAACCTGACTTGAACCGAAATTGACCCAAACCCGTTTTAACTCTTCAAAACTCGTATTTAATCCGACTTGTTACTAACCTGACCTGAATTCAACTCGACCCGTTCCCAAGCCGACTCGATTTTAACCCAACCTGTTACAAATCCGACCCGAAATCAACCGACTTGTTATTGACCTGACCCAAATTAAACTTGACTTTTTATTGACCCGACCTGAATTTTACCAGACCTATTACTTACCCGACCCAAAAATTCAACCCGATATGTTACTAACTCGACTCGCAATTAACACGACTTATTATTGACCTAACCTAAATTCAACCCAAATTATTCCTGACCCGATTTCAAATCACCTTAAATGCAATTTAGACCACCTTATTATTGTTGATCAAAGCATTTTGTCTAGGAAGACCAATTCGGTCCAGGCCAACAAAAGAAAGGAGTATCATCCTCAAATTTAAGAGTTAAATATAGTATATATTTGTTGTATGGTCAAAGGAGATAATTATCTTCCTAAATTATAGACTTTACTTCCTTAGTATATTTCCATATATATTATAGTCAAAGGAAATAATTAGCTTGATAAAAATGATAATTATCTATTTATAGTTAGTTGAACTCGAATATGACCCGACTTGGAAATGACCCGACCTGATTGTAACTTGCAAACTATTGCCTTGAACATAACTTGACTTGAATCCGAGAAGGATCTGACTTGAAAATGACCCAACCTAATTATAACCCGCAAATTATTGACTTGAATCGAACCCGATTTGAACCCGAGAATGACCCGACTTAATTATAATCCGCAAATTAATGAATTGAACTGAACCCGACTCAAATCCGAGAATGACCCGACCTGATTCTAACCCGCAAATTATTGACTTGAACCGAACCCGACTCGAACCCGAGAATTACCCTAACCTGTTTTAACGCGTGAAAACGCGAATTAAACACGACCTATTGTTCACCCGATCCGAATGTAACCGAGTTGTTATTAACCCGACCCAAACCCGATAAGAAGTATAACTCGACGTGACCCGACTCAAGCATGACCCAACTCTAACCCGACCCGCATAGGTTATGGAATTGATCCGACCCAAACCCGACCCATTTACCGAATTGACAGCTCTAGGCCCAAGTGTGACAAAGCTCGTTAATTATAGCCAACCCATTGCTACTAAATTTAAATGAGTATACTATGCGCTATAAACCATGTTATGGTCGCCGGAAACATACACATTAGATAGTTGGTGTGTCCGTGCTTTATAGAAGAATACTACTCCGTGTTAAAATCATGGACCACCCTTGATTATAAGCTTATAGCTTATTGGACTATTTACTACGAAGTTCAAAGTATTCAATATTGTTCACATTAAATCATTGCTAACTAGTAACCCTACTGAATAAGGATTAAAAATGATGCC